AATGGGATAAAATTTTGTATACATCATGTGAGTTAAAATGTTTATTCATTAGAAGAGAATTAACCCACTCGCTAGGGCTCGTGGGTTAAACTTTCTTCTCATGAATAAACATTCATTTAACTCACTTGGTGTATAAATAACTATTAAATTTTCACAAAATGGGATAAAATTTTGTATACATCACGCGAGTTAAAATGTTTATTCATTCGAAGAAAATTAACCCACTCGCTGGGGCTCGTGGGTTAAACTTTCTTCTCATGAATAAACATTCATTTAACTCACTTGGTGTATAAATAACTATTATTTGGTGTTTCAAATTTTTCTGTAGCCCCTTCCGCGTGTTTTTCTTTTGCGATAAATTCACTCCACTTTTTTATGATCTGTGTTTTTCAAATCGATCATTATAAGTTTTCTTTTTAGTTAAGTATATTTTTTTATTTGCAATCATATATGTAATCATGTCATTACTGACTTTTTAAAAATTTGGAAGTGACACTTTACTTGTGTCACTTCCCTCTTCGATTTCCCTCACCGATTTCCCTATTCGACTTCCCTCACCGATTTCCCTCACTCTAATTTATTTACCTTTGCTGGCAACAATGAGAACATGTCAGGTAAAAACGTCAAAGTAGTGAATGACACATTTTGGCATGTTTTTTTTAATTTTTTTAATATTGAAAAAGTTGCTTGACTAATCCGAATCAATGGTGTGCTTGCAAATAAAATAGTATACAAACCTCGGAGGAAAGTTTTCATTTCTGTCTCGAGATTAATAGTCAATCTCGACGCTTCGCGTCTCGATTGACTGTATAAAATGAAACACTTCCCTACTCGGTATGTAATATACTAGTAAATCTCTTCTGTTTATCATGGAGTTCGTTTTTCTTCCAAGTTCTTTAGTGCTTATTTCTTTGAAAGATCTTTCGTCTGTTGACATCGTCAATTATATATTTCATTAGAGTATCCCAAATATCGCTAGATGCTTATCCAGACTTGTTTCCACTTAAAGTTGGAATGGTAAATAATACATTGGAAAGCAAGAAAGAATGAATCAATTAATTTGTTTCTACATAAATTTATAGCACATGACAATAACAAATAGTATTCAAAATTATATTAAATTTCACGATATTGCTTTATTTTAACTAAAAACTTCCATTTTATAAAGCAATTTTTATAACCAGTCCGCTTTCAATACGTCCATTACAAGCCTATTACGCTTCAAATAGCAATTTGAAAGGAAACGATTTATATTGTTAATATAATAATGCTGTGACTTCGACGTACTTAAATGAAAAGCAATTTATAGATAAATGCGGATAATGCTCCAAAAAGAATTAACATCAAAGAGTCATTTTTACCTGTTGTTTATTGACATATTTTTGAGGTTAGATGTGCAAATTTAAGCTTTAATGGAAAAGTAAAACTTTATTTTATTATTTAATAACAAGCGTCAATTTTAGTTTTATTATCTTTCAAAAGTTGCATCCGCAAAAAAGTTTGCAGAATAATAAAATATCGTTTTATATTTTGTATAGTCAGGCCGGGGCTGCCGCAAATTCGCTTTTCCTCAAAAAGCTCGTCCGAGTCTTGCAAGTTTTATAATCTTTTCGCCAACAAACTTATATTACTTTACTCTAATGCCGGCTGGTTTCTGCTGTCGTCTCCCGAGAGAAGATTTCTGTCTTCTTTCATTGGATCAAAACGGAATTTTAAGTTAAATTTTAACTGGCGTGCCATGATTAATTTAAAATTGGATTCATTATAATAAATAATGGTTGTCCACTGAGACTGGAGCTATGAAAGGAATGCTATAGATGTTGTCGAATAACTAAATCAAATTTAATAGAGGTAATGAAAATACATATTTCTGATTGATTTCCATGTTTTTTTATGTAACATTTCTCATCTGTGTCCGCATATGAGAGCTTTCACTGTATGCCCAAAACAGAAAGACTAAAACTTGGAATCATTTAAAAAACTTATCCAAACTCACTTCCCGTGTCTAACTGCTTTTGGATGCGGGATAGTATCACTTTGCGCGCGTGTTGGGACTTATAGTTTTTCTACTACCCTCCACAAAGTAGAAACAAAAACCTCTGAATATACTTCGTATTTTGAATTTTTATTTTAACGTAATACAGAAATAGTTAATTTTGCTCTGGTAAAAATTCTAAGGATTTTGTTCCGTGCAAATGAAAATAATCAATTCAAGTTACAGCCTAGTCCAGAATGCGCTCTTCCAAGCAACATAAAACCAACGCCCCGTTATGGCACTATATCCTATATTGAATGTAGGTAACTTTCGACCAATTAAAATATAAATTGGTTATTAGAACCTAGGAACTTACACAAAGGTACCATACATGATTTTATATTAACTTTCTCATATTGTACAAGTTTATATTTATAGACCCTGAGATAGGGACTGTTTATTGGAGTTTTTTTTTTTTTTTGTCTAGCATTTTGAGGGCTAAATGTGGTTAGTTAGCTGATGAGAATATAAGTGGTTTTAATGCCTGCTCCATGTTCGAAATGTCCACAGAATTTTCCGCCGGAAAACTCGATTTCGAACTGTGATTACCGTCTGCCGATTTTTCAGTGTTTTTTTCTTTTATTCTCTCGATTGCCAGACAGAAAGTAAACGCGGAAGGCTCTATACTTTTCTCTTGGAAGTTAACACCCACCCCTACTTTTTCAGCCATTGAACAGCATCCGGTATTTTTATGGGTGAATTATTTATCAATGCCAATCTTTTATTTAAAAGTGAGACAATTTAGAGTTTGAAAAAAAATTCTTCATGTAAGTTAATTTTTTCTCCAAATGTCAGAAAAACGTCACTTTGTTAACCCCTGTCAAGATGCCAGAAATCTAATTTCTATGCTGCTTGGCAACCCCCGCGGCAGTAAAAGTACTTTTAGTGCCGCTCGTACTTTTACTGCCGTTCAACCATTCACTTGGCCCCGAGCTTATAGTACGGGATACGAGGCCTATTTCATCAAATCATTTTACACCGTCTTGCATTGTTATCATCAGTTAGATAAAATGGTACTGAAACACACTTGTGCAGGGAAATAGATGGGAGTGGGGGATTTCGCTGAAAAAAATGTTTCAGAAAATGTCGTCATAAATTAGGAAAATATATAATTATACACCGTCTTGCATTTATTTATTGAGTCAGTTTGTACACAAACAAAATTGAATTACCACATGCAAGACGTTTTTATGGGGGTTTTAGGGTTGCAATAGAAGATGGAAATTGTCAATTTGTGAGAGGGGTGGAAAATCATTTTACACCACTATATTGTTGATTTAGATTAAAGCTTGAATGTAGAATAGCTACTGGATACTGATACAAGACGTCCTGTGGAGGGATAACGGGCTGCAAGACGGATGTCAATGCGTTGTCTCATGAGGGAGTGAAAATTTATTTTACACCACTTCATGCTTATGTCCGCCGGAAGAATATATGTTAAAAAATGGTAATACATCAGTCCAAGACGTTTTTTCGGGGAAAAAAGTTAATAAATCCGTTTTCTTTTTTTACTGAACTTTTGAGTTATTTACTGAACCGTTCACTGTTCATTCTTTTCTAAATCATACAGATGGAAAAGGACAGTTGACATAGCAGCTCAACAGGGGAGTCTGCTGAATACAGGAATTATAATTTCTGTTTACAATTCCAGGCAGATCATTTTTTTGCTGCTTTAAAATCAAATTTCTCAAATTTACCTAATACCTACTTACAATCCGTTAGGTGTTATGACATATCCACCTCAAAAAATAAATAAAATGATTATAAGCTGTCAGAAAAAGAACAATTTTCAACCTTTTTTTTTTGATGTCCGTAGAGTCATTCAAATATACATATTAAGAGAATTTTGCAAAATAGAATTATTCTACGTGGTAAAAGCAAAAATATCTAAAATTATTGTGCGTAATTTGTAATTTGGAGTAGTATTCACATTTGTACCTGATGGATTTACCCCCGTCAAAATTAGTCAACTTCATCACCGTCTTGCAGTCCTTTCTTTCCATTTAGAACGTCTTGTATTTTTTAAAATGTTATCAATGTGTTCTGTTTTTCCCATTAGTATCAGTGCAAGACGGTGTAAAATGATTTCTCACTCCTTCATAAGACAACACATTGACCTCCGTCTTGCAGTCCGTTATCCCTCCACAGGACGTCTTGCATCAGTATCCAGTGGCTATTCTACATTCAAGCTTTAATCTAAATCAATAATGAAGTGGTGTGAAATGATATTTCACCCCTCTGAAAAATTGACAATTTCTATCCAATATAACAACCCCAAAACCTCCATGAAAACGTCTTGCATGTGTTGATCCAATTTTGTTTGTGTACAAATTAACTCAATAAATAAATGCAAGACGGTGTATAATTATATATTTTCCCTGTTTATGACGACATTTTCTGGAAATTTTTTTTCAGCGAAATCCCCCACTCCCATCTATTTCCCCGTACAGGTGCGTTTCAGCATCATGTTATCTAACTGATGATGACAATGCAAGACGGTGTAAAATGATTTGATGAAATAGGCCTCGTATCCCGTACTATTACCCCATTCGTTTGGAGAAAAAATAGCGTGTTGCATACAAGGTAGAAGCACTTTTTTTGTGCTTCAGCAGTATTGTAAACCTCACTACATTCGGCTCGCAAAACTACCGCTTCAGCACAAAAAAGTAAAGCTTTTACTCCTAATACAACAATATACTATTTTTCTTCTCCAAATTTTCGAACGGAGAGCAGGCATTAAAATCACCCATATTCTCATCATCAGCTAACTAGTCACATTCAGCCCTTAAAATGCCAGACAAAAAAAAAATAATTCACTAAACAGTCCCTATCTCACGGTCTATTATTTTCAGTAAGTTCTTCGGCTAGCATGAAAATAACCAAGTATATATACAGACTATCGGCTGAAAATCCTGATTGGCTATTATCGACGTTCGCACAAAACAATTTTTAGCAATATACTCACGTATTTCGTTAAAGTAGAACGGAAATTCCCCGGTGACCGAACAGTTTAGTCGGGATTTCAAGAAGGACGTCCACCGGTTCCTGAATCTATGCGGACCTCCTCTGTCGTTTTTGCAGACGCGAGCCACCCGGGAGTACACTGCCTGGAAATTGGACAAAAATAGCTGTTAAAATGTGCCTTCAGTTGGATCTCAATAAATAAAGATTATCGGATGTTAAATATAAAAAATTGCCATATTTCAACTTTCTGAGCTTTCAGCATCCGCAGTCGGGTGCATAAATGAGGGGTTCGTTAGTAAAGGAAGTGCTTGCTTTTTTTAACACTGATGTTAACGATCAAGAATGTAGGTTTAGCAGAAATGTTTATATTGTATGTACTTCAATAACAGAGCAATATCATGAAATTGTTTATTAGATCAGTTTATTATATCTATAATATATATGTATATGAAACAAAGTCGTGTCGGTTACACCATTTATAACTCGATAACGGCTGGACCAATTTTTATGATATTTGTTAAATTGGATTTGTCTTTGTCCCGACTAACATAATAACTATTGAAACAGAAAAAAATCACGAAAAACAAAATTATATGGAAAATTCATTGAATCCGCATACGGCGCCACCTCTGGTTTGTCGCATTAGATGGCGCGATCCTTTCATAATTAAATAAAAACAAGGTTATGTTGAACGTCTGAATATGAGTCTGAGATTTTGCACATGGATATCACAAACTACAAGAGAAATGGTAACTTACGAGGTCTAGACCACGGCCATCTTTACTTATCAGGCCCTGAACAGCTTGCCGATGCACTGTTGCCAAGTGTAAGATAGAGGTCCTAGATATTTAAAGGTTTTAAACTTTGATTCTACGAAAGTGGTTAAAAGAAATAAAGAATAATTCTCTAGTTGGGACCATCTACTTAATTTCAGATCGAAAGTTAAAATCCAGTTTAAATCATTAAATGTTAATTTATTTTCAAACAATTTAATATACCTACAAAGGTATTTGTATCTAATACAGAAATCTCAGTATGAAAACTTATTGGAGCCACAGTTAAATCAAGAATATCAAAGCAAATATTCCTTTCATTTTCTAATTTCATTGTAAAAGAATAAGAAATGTTAATTTTATCAAAATAATTTGAAATTAAGTCCTCAATCCCATTAATTAAATCTAATTTTTCAAAGAGATCAGTCAACTTGCTATGACGATCGTTTTTTTGACTTTTTCGGTGGTCTGGACTTCTATAGAGTGGCACTTTTTTGATAAATAAGGTGGTAAATTGGAGAAATTAGATGCAAAGAGCACCAAGTTTGAGTTTAGTTTTTGTTCGAATTTTCTTCACAGTCCCATCGAGCAATAAAAAAAAAATAATTTTTAATGATGTTTCTTGAAAACGAATCTCTCACACCACAGAATATTGGATGGGGCACCAGTCAGCACAATGAGTAGCTTTTACCCATTTAGCCCTTAGAATGTTATCTTTTGGAAAGCCAAAAGTTGATATCATAGATTGTCCCCCTTTTAAAGTTGTGTTATTATAATTGGCCATACACCCAGGAAGACAACAAGTCTTATGGCATGACCATGATGAAGATAAATTATTATGAAGCTTACCAAATCAGTGAACGAAACGCTAAAAAATGGTCTAGATAAATTGTTTCTTTTTTACCCACATTCACCTAGATATAAAAGTAAACCTATAAACTTCCTTTTGCTAAATAGCTAAACACTGGAAACTACACCCTGTTTTTTTTTTAAATAATAATAGGTAGGTACACGGTTTTCATCAACACTGAAGTAACTGGAGATGGTGAAAATGTAAAATTGCATCAGAAAAATCCAGGAAAATCAAAGGTAAAAAAGCCGGCATGCGATCCTGGTCGCACACTCCACTGACAATTAGACAACTATGCGGTGTTGCACGATTTCCTCTTTCATGGCCTGATAAGTAAAGATGGCCGTGTCTCGACGCACTAGGCGGACGGGATAGTTGGGGTGAGTCTGCATCTGACATATGAGTATGAGAGTTTGCACATGGATACCACAAACTACAAAACAAATGGCAACTTACGAGGTCTAGAAGCACTAGGCGGACGGGTTAGTTTGGGTGAGTCTGCATTTTCTTGATTATCATCAGATGGGTTAAACCAACAATAATAATCTACACGCTAAACGCCTCACGCATGGCTTTTGAAATTAGGCATTTGTCAAATGACGAGCATGGAGCTGGGCAAATGTTAAATCCCTGGCAAATATTGGACAGTGCCGTTCTCATCAAACCCGTGTGTTTCTTTTATATGTAGCCGACCTTTTCTCCCCGCGGTAGATGTTATTGTGGTTTTCAATATTTTCCAGTGCTCCTCAATGCTTTCTGGGTACTTTAACGGAAGTTTCTGGCGTAGAGACGCTTGGAATTTTGTTTTGTTATGATCGTCTTGAAGACTTTCTATGTTGAATTTTCGTTTAAACTGCATTTTTTGACATCAGCGCTTTGGTGGGATACGCAAATTCATTCTGGCTCATATCAGCCGATGGTCAGTGCAGCAGTCATTTGCACTTGTTAAAGCTCTCGTATTGCATACGTCATTTTGGTCTCTAGAACATCTACTAATGACATAATCGATCAGATGCCAGTGCTTTGACCTAGGGTGTTGCCGGGAAGTCTTGAATTTATTCTTTTGTCAAGAAATTGTATTCGTTATTACAAGGTCTTATTCTGAGCATGTGGTTAGTAGCCGAAGTCCGTTCGAGTTCATTTTTCCGATGCCTTCCTTGCCGTTCACGCCTTTTTATAGATCTGACTCTGTACCGACCTGGGCGTTAAAATCACCTGAAAGAACAAGTTTATCAGATCTAGGAACAGATAATATGGTTTGAATAAGCTGGGCATAAAATTCCTCTTTTTGGTTATCGTCAGTTGTGAGGGTTGGAGCGTAGGCGCTGATTAGTGTAGCTTGTTGGTTGGTTTTGAGTTTAGCCGCAGTATCATAAGTCTTTGGCATATTCCAGATGGAAGCTTAGCGAGGTTCATTCTCTTCCTTGCCTTTCCAGAAAAACGTATAGCCTCCTCTGTGCTTCTTGCATTGACCTTCGCCTGTTCTTCTGGTTTCGCTTAGAGCTGCAATTTCGATGTTAGGTCTCCTTAATTCCCGTGCCACCATTTGTAAGATTGCAAATGTTACCTGTTCCTATTTTCTTTCAAACTTAATTTTTTAGTCTCGTGATTACCATTTTATTTGAGTTTGAATTTCGAACACCCTCGTGGTAAGTCTTTTTTATTTTTTTTTAAAGTAATGGTTGTTCAAGGAATGCCTCTATTACTTAGGGTGTAAGATCCTTTTTTGTTTTGTGAGTAACTACCCTCTACCCTCATGGAAACTAACCTTTCAGAACTGTTACGACTTTTTTTACTTTCACCATTCGCTGTGGCATCGAAATGTATGCGAACATACCAGATTTCAAGGAAAATAGTTTGCCTTTGTTATTGAAAATAAATAAAATCTTTATTTTCATCTACCATTTGAAGGAGCATCTTAGGGCATATGTTCATTGGAACTTTTTTTCTTATTTTCATATGTAGTATCACCCCTCGTCCGGTACACTATTTCTTTTACACCCTGTATGTTAGCTATTATGTTCCACGCAATAATGAATCAGTAAATGGTTGAATAAAGTGTGTAACCTTTCCGGGGAAATCGCTTCAATGACATTACGAATCTTCCACTTAAGATCTTCCAGGCCATTTGGCAAAGGATTACAGGATTCCTCCTTGACATAATTCCAGAAAAAAAAGTCTGAAGCTGTTAAGTCAGGAGAGTAACGTGTCCATTTTATAGGACCAGCTCTCCCTATCCATCTTTTCCAAATGTCATATCTAGTGATTCCCTTGAAAATGTATTTTTAATTAGTTGATATCTATCTCGATATTTACAAAATTGTTTGCCATACTGATAGCAAGTATCTACTACAAGAAGCTGCATGCTTTTGCAAAAATACCAGGATTTCGATTTCAATTTTTTACGGTTAAAACTTTAAGTTTCAAGAATGATGCTTATTGGTATATGGATACCTTTAACATGACTCTTTTTTTGACGTTGTGATATACAGGGCGTTCCATTCTTCGACCATTGAACACTCTCTCTCTCTAGACTAATAACGATAATAATGTGCTATAGAATTTGTTTGGTTCCAGAATGAGACCAGGCCCTCTTTCTCGCACTTATGAAAATAGAATGTTTATAAACCAGTCTGTTTATGTTTTGGGTATCAGAGAGCTGCGTTCGAAAACCTGGTTGTTGGTGTGGAAATTATTTCAGGGAGTGCATCTTCAAAATGTGAGCTTAAATTTCACTCTAGAGTATTCGGTGCGCACATCAATACGTGTCAAACACCCTTCCGAACGCCGAAAACCATATGATTTTAATCCACACTTCGCCTTTCCGAACGGCAGCTGTGTGATTTTTATACGACACACCAGGTTCTCGAACGCAGTCAGCTGAAAGTTGAGAACACCATGAGAACACAAAACAATTACTACGTTATTGCCAGACTGTAAAATCTTTCTTTAGAAGTAGGTACGTAGTTCCATTTAAAACCAAATTGACTCGTGATAAAAGGTATGGTTGTTTTAGAATTATTTTAAGTATAGACTTAAAAAGTCGCAAGTATATTTTTAATATTATTATAAGCAGACAAATTTGAAATAGATACTTTTCGATAGATGACGATATTCATTATTATCGAGAATATTATTCGAACAGGAAAAAATTCGGCAACAGGGCCTTTTTTCGTTTTGTTTATCGGATGAATCACCCCTCTGAGCCCGCTACCTCATTATGGAACAAAACAAATATGCTTGTTGATCCCTCTAGCAGTTTAAAGCTCGATGGTTCCATTAAAGATAGTGGAGAATTTTGATGTTGAAAAACGGATGTTTTTTTTTACTCGCCCTTAAAACTTAAGGCCAAAAGAAGTCGAATGGCGCAAACCGCAGGTAGTTATCACACCTGGTTTGAAAATTATAAGCATTTAAAATGGGTCACTCTCGGCTGGGACATCCTGTATTCAAAATTTTATTTTTCGCATTCTTGACACCAAGGTTATGGTGGAATATTTGATTTTATGGATTTTCGATTTATCGAATTTAATATAGACTTATCATCTCTTAACTTTTAATATTGCCATATTTTAGGATCGTAAATTTTATTATTTATAATCAATACTTTCAACTAAGGTCAAGGTTGGACAACATGCTCTAACTTTAAAAGTACCTACATCGTCGAAAATTGATCAATTTTTCACTTGGGTTCTATACCGGGTGTCCTACCGAAAACTGTCAATGGCCTGTATCTTGAAAACGATAATCGATAAAGAAAAAAAACCCCGTTCGGAGGGTTGGAAGGGGGTTCCAAAACAAGGTACTTTTCAGGTTTCCCCAAATCACCCCTCCGGCCGTAGCCACGTTAACCTCAAAATCTTAAATCGCATTATAGGTCATGTGATACCTTGTTTGAAAGGTTTTTTATTCTCTGAACGAATCTGCGAAAAAAAATTATCTAAATACAAATTTAAATTGGCACAAAATGACGCATGCTTCGAATTAACAACTTTGCCCTCTTGAGGAGGTGACACTGTCAGGTACAGTGAAGGGAAAGAGGTTCAAAAAAATAAAATCTTGATGATTTCTTCAAAAATATTCATGCTGTTATTCAATTTGTATAAAATCGATTTTAAATCACATTTACCTGTTCCACCCGATCAAATGAGGTTTTCATCAAAATGAGAGTCACATTTAAATCTGAATATTTTTTTTTTGCAAATCCATTTAGAGAATTAAAAGACCTTCAAAACAAGGTATCACATGACCCATAGTGCCATTTGAAATTTTGAGGTTAGGGTAGCTACGGCCGGTGGGGTGATTCAGGGAGACCTGAAAAGTACCTTGTTCCCCCTTCCAACCCTCCAAATGGTTTTTTTTTTTCGATTACCGTTTTCAAGATATAGGCCATTGACAGTTTTCGGTGGGACACCCGGTATAATTTATATACTTGAGAATTTCGGTTATATCTCCTTTATACTTTCAACGTTTAACCTTTTATTTCATACAGTTTTAATTTGATGTTAGTGATTCTATTTTTCTGGCAGCAGCTGACCATATTTATCCATCTAATCTATATCTATATACAAATTTCGACCGTCTTACTATATCTATATACATATATATAAAAATTAATGCCACTTTTCGTTGTAATTTTATAACTCAAGAACGGGCTCACCTAGCCAAACCAAATGTTTAGGCTTTATTCGGACTATTTATTAGATGGTTTATGTGAAGTTTGCACAAAATCGGTCGAGCGGTTCTTCATTTATCACATTTTTTGTAATAAATGAATTATTCAATAAATGGAGGATCATTTTGTTAATGGGGATTTTGCTGTCAAATTGAAACTTTTTTCAGCGTTGACAGTACCAGCATGTTGTTATGTCATTAATGTGGTCATTTCATTACTTATTTTATTTATTTATGAAAAAAATTTACTAAGCCCGCATACGGCGCCATCTCTTATAACCGATACCAAGTTTATTTTGTATTTTGTATTTTGTATACCGCGCCATCTCTGATACCTGGAACTAAGCTCGGCATTGCAGATACAGTAGAACAATGCTGCTCAGGAACTGGAGCTATTCCGAACAGAAATATTCCACTATTCCGATCAGATAGAGTGGTGCAGAAAGAGTAGATCAGATAGAGTAGTGCAGATAGAGTAGAACAGATGGAGTAGTGCAGTGCATGCAGTGCAGATAGAGTGAAACAGGGCTGCGCTAGAGATTTTTTTTGTTTTCTTTACATTCTTTGAACATTCCTGTGCCTGAGTTTATTTATTTGGTAGTACACTTTACAAGAATAATGCCCACAAGCTGCCTAAAAAAGGATGATGTAAAATTTTAATTTTAGGTGACTTCTGATCCAGAGAGTAAACATTAATTTTCTTCAACCAAAGCCAAATTCACCATCGAAAAAAAATGAATTTAATTCAGCTAATAGATACGTTAACACAACATTTAATAGGTATATTTAATAATTCCGAGGCGGTACGAAGTTCGCCGGGTCAGCTAGTAGTATTATAATTTTCAATCATTCATTTTTTATTAATTTTCTGGAAACTTTAATCCTTTATAAATAAACAGCGGCTGTTAATAAACTTATGTATATGGCAACTAAATATATCGATGTACATGGTAATATTTTTTTTTTTTTTTTTTTGAGTTTGATGAATCTGATTCAGGGGTTAACCTCCATTTATTAATTTTATTAAGTGTTCTACCACTAATTGATTTCATCTTTTAAAATTTGATGCTTGATTTTTGACTGACGGTGAAAATATACACTAATTTAATTTGAAACTTACTTAATTGTTTTGTTGGTTTTACCTATGTCAGGATTTGGTTGAGTTATGTGCCTCATTTATATCCTTTTCAGAATTATCGATTACCATCTGCAGATTTTTTTTTTAAGGTGTGTTTTTGAATTTTAACCCTTCCAAATTTTATGTAATTTAATTATTTTTTTTCTAAAATTCAGTGGCGCTCTTGCCGTTCTGTACTTATTAAACTATCAACCCACCCCTCTAATAATTATTTGCTGAGCAAACCGAGCATATTATGGGCCTCTTGTTAAATCATTATATATACATGCGTAAATAATCCGTTTGAAATTCTTACCTTTCCACAATTGATATACTCCACAGCAGTTTCTCTAAAGAAAAAGTAAACAAAGTCCCCTTGGGTCATGGATCCGACAAAGTCAGGGGCTGGAAACAAACAAAAAATAAATGTACCACTTTAAATGTTTGTGGGTTGAAAAAAATTTCAGTCTATGGCCACACAATAATTTACTCGAGTGAACTTTTTGTGGCTATAATTCAGCCGATAGACGGAGGCTAAATTAAGTACCTATCAACATGATGTTTCATCCCTTAATTTATATGTTCTTTCTTTCCTTAATCAAAAGGTCTTGAGCTCGACTTGAAAGTTTTTATGTATGGGAAGTTTTTTACTATAGGTATAGTTTAAGTATCGCATAATATTTAGCTATCTTTTTTATAAACAATGACAAAACTATCTCCTTATTTTTTTGTCAAACCATAAATAATATACAGGGTGACAATTTCAAAACTTACAATAGACTATAACGTTAAACTTATTTTTTTTTTTCTAACAACGATGTTGTTTCTATAGTAGCTACCTTATATGATTCAAGGAAGTCGAACCTATTGTAAATTGCTGAAGAGCTTTTGCTGCTCCATCAATTAATCTTGTGGTTGGCTTCCTCACAACCACTATCTTGAAATTTAGAATCAGTTATTGAATATTCAAATAGGTATTCTGTATATTATCGAGAAAATTTTTTAAAATTTTAAACTTTAAAATTTATTTTATGAATATCTATTCACGTTGCTGAAAGTTCCAAAAGCCATTTCCGAAGGCCAATCTAAGAGCACTTCGAATGTGAATTGTTCGGAAATTCTTTTCATTCGGAGGTCGACAATTTAGCGTTAAGGCCGGACCACTTTTTCCAGCTAATTTATCTTTCAGACACAAAAAACCTTTCATTTCGAATTTTCAGGACGATTCGCACACAACCTTCCACCCTGTCGGAAAAAAAGAACTCACCGTTTAGACTCATCGAGTCGTATTGTTCAGTCTGCAAAGGTTCCCTATAGATTATAGGGTCCATTCCGCTGAAATCGGCCACAGTGCCCGTATAGAGGTCGCCATCTGAAATAATGATCTTGGTTAGAAATGAAAAATAGCAACAAAAAAAAAAAACAAGTTTGCGTGAAACAAAAAATGAATTGTCGTGATAGGGGCATATTAATTTTTTTTTCAACCTTCTTTTTAGAAGTTTTAAAAATGGAGTTAATTTATGCTAGGCTAATAACATTGTTGGTGAAACTGAATTTTAATTAAAATTTTAAATAGGTAGGTACCTTATTGAAGTGAACTGTTGTGTTGTAGCTTTTCATTAAATAACAAAGAGACTTCAATAAAGATTGAACGGCTCCGAAACAGTTTATTTATTAGGGTGAATAGAACAATCTTAGAGGAATTGAAAACAATAGAGGCCCATATTTACATTTGGACGATCTAGTCGAATCCTAATCTAAGCGCTATCTTAGGAGAATCTTACTTGACGATTTTACTTTGGAAAAAAATCAAATTTCATTATTTATTTCCAAACGAAACAACAGCGCATAGAAAGACTGCACCATGACTGACAAGTGCTTTGCTGCTTTTGATTAGAAATTTTCAGGAATCCTGCATTGCAATCATTTGAAAAATAACAATTTTTTCTCAAAAGGGAAATTTGGGATTTTTATAGGTGCCGTCATCGATATACAAACAAGGGAATTCTGAATAAGAAACGAACTCTATTGATTTGTATATTCATTTCGTGTCCCTATATATTATCAATTATGGTAGAAATTTCTTGGGGTTAAGGACAGGGAGGTAAACCAAAAGGAACTACTTCAAAACTACAAATTCTCTGTTCACACATATCAAAGATAAGGTACCCCAGGGTAAAAAGAGCTCTTTGGTCTACAAGATCCCATGCGAATGTGGAAAGTGCTATATAGGTGAAACGATGCAATATCTGGATAAAAGAATACAGCAACACAAGAATGATTGTCATATTAACAAAATATACAAAGAAGATGAAACAGCATTAGCAAAACACCGTTTTGAAACTGTCCATAGCTTTAAGTTTGGTGAGGTGGAAGTTGTTGATTCGGAAACACAAACATATAAACGTAAACTGAATGAAATGATCCACATAAACCTAATAGACCGTTAGATAGTGACAGATTTAGGTGCCCCATTTTCGCATACAAGCCTCGAAGAGGGTTGAAAAGTACAAAGATTTTGAGTAGGATGAAGGTATTTTTACGAGTGGCTCCTGCGGATAACATATGGAAAATTCGATTTTACTTATGTTACCCTAAAATATAATTTTCCATTTGCGACACTCAAGCCAATATGTTTTCTTGCTACCGACGTTGTAGATTTTCATCCTTCCGATGGGCTTGTGTGGAAAAATTGCCCAAATTCTCGATTTTTCCTTACAAGATTACGCCCTTATTTCCAAGCTTCAGCCACCTGAAACACCCCCTCTTTGTTTTCACGAAGCCAGGTTTAATTAATTAATCCTTTGATGAACACGGCTTGCGAGAAAATATGTCTTCCATTTCTGTTAAGGAAAATCGAATTTTCCATACGTTATCCCCAGGACCCACTCGTAAAAATACCTTCATCCTACTCAAAATCGATGTACTTTTCAACCCTCTTCGAGGGTTGTATGCGTAAATGGGGCACCTAAATATGTCACTATCTGACGGTCTATGAATGACACAGTGAATATGAAGACCGTGTGTGGTATATAGAGCAATATCTTCCAAATTTACAAAATAAAGATGAACTAAATATAATTATGCGTGTGGATATGTAACTCTGGAATTATCTGGGGGTTGTTATTAATATTTAACGCCATTCAACAAATAATTTATTATAAATGTTGTTTTTGTTTCCTTTTTAAAATTTTTCTATATGTATTTAATTTTTTTTCTTCTATTTTTTCTATTTTTCAATTTTTTTTATATTTTGTGTTTTTTACATTTGTATCTGTGATTTTTTAACTTTTTTAATTTTTTATTTATATTTTAAGTGTCAGGTTGTATTTTATAGACAAGCAAATGTGTCCTATGTACGCTTAAATCCTTTGATGTGGAGCTGCTGAACTAGAGTACCATAGTGGCCAGCCAATGTAAAACGCTACCTTGTTTTAACAATAGCACAAATAGAAAAACAATCCAACTTTTGTCTTGTCAAATTCCATTTAAGAACAAAAGGAAAAAGAAAAATAAAAATAGGAGATCAAATAATCCAATAATCCAATAATCATCAATTATTGGCATGTAATTCAGAATTTGTCACTATCTAAAGGGTGATCATTGTGCTTTTCTCTTGGCTGCAGGGGCTCTGGAGACATCGGGTTGAGTAAGTACTCCTGAGCAATGACTAATTTTATTTTAATTTGTTTTGACAAAATCTTTGATTGTATACCTATCATTTTAATGTTACTTACTATGTCGTCTCATGTGCCTTATTTCTCCTGTTCCAGGGCTTAAAAAAGAGAAAATATAGTTCCGAAACGTCGCCGAAAGCCAAGTAGTTTCTTTTGGTTTACCTCCCCGTCCTTAAACCCAAGAAATTTCTACCAAAATCTATCGATTTTTATTCCTTTGAGAAAATAATTAAAAGAAGATTCAGAATCTCTTTGTTTATTCCTGTAACTTGAATAAATGCATACAAAAAATGGATTCCGCATCAACGATTTAAAGATACAACAATCATTTGCCTGCATTATCGCATTTATCCCAAGAATCGGTGTTCTCACTCTTGAACTTGGATTTCACCTTAGACCGATTTCACTTACTTTACGCTCCGCAGAGCGAAGTATCCTCGGCCGGTAGGTATAAAGCTAAAACTACTGATCAGTTTAACCACTATGATTTGCTAGTAGTATTTTTTTTTTATTTATTTATTTATTATTATTTTTTTTAAGACGAATTCAAAGCAAGAATATATCACCAAAGCAGCATATTTCATTCTTTTATCTATCAAGTAAATAAATAATATAATAATAATAATAATAATAATAATAATGTAACGGCCGCCAGTGTGTCAAGAATCCTGTACAGAATTGCATAGCGGATTCGAGATTTTACGTTGATGTTCGGGAACAAGGTCGATCGCGGTTCTTCTGGAATTTACAGGAATAAATTACGGCTATATATAAGGACGGGTTTTAGCTTGTAAGTTAAGTTTCAGTTTGACTGTGATACGATTCAAATAGTGATTATTGTTGCGAGTTGTAAGAGCTGCTTGGACAACTGCAGAAAATATTTCTAAACATACAAAAACAACAAAAGATTACGGAAGTAAAAGCCGAAGTTAAAGACGATGTACGAGAAGTTAAAGGCGTTGTTCGAGAAGTTAAAAACGACGTTCAGGAAGTAAAAGCTGTAGTCAAAGCCGATGTTCAAGAAGTTAAAGACAATGTTCGAGAAGTTAAAGACGATGTTCAGCAATTAAGACAAGAAGTGTAGGACCAAGTTCAAGCACTCGAAGATAAGGTGCGTAAATTAGAAATACAGTCCATCAATCCAGTTAGTGTTGGAGCATTCTCCAGTATGAAGATAAAACCACCAACTTTTGACGATTCTACGTCCTGGACCATGTATATTCGACAATTTGAAGCTGCTGCAAATACCAACGGATGGAACGACCAAGAAAAAGTACAGCACTAATAGTGGCGCTACGAGGACCTGCCTTAGACCTTCTTCAGTCCATTCCTTCAGTCTACCAACAGAATTACCAGCATCTAAGTCAGACGTTAGAATTGCGTTTCGGAGATCATTACAGGCAAGAAGTATTTAGAACTCAAGTCAAATCAAGAATTCAAAAACCCGGCGAGAGTTTACAAGAATTCGAATCAGAAGTTAAAAGGCTAGTGAGTTTGGCGTTTCCTGCAGCTGGGAAAGACATACAAGAATGGATGGCAGTATCTACGTTTATTCATGGTCTCCGGGATTCCAAGATCCAGGAAAACCTAAGAATGTCCAAATTCAGGAAAAGTAGCGAAGCCCTTGTCCGAGCATTAGAACTGGAAGCAATCTTTGGTGCCTCAACACCCAGAATACGAGCAGTGTCCATTCAAGACCCAAAGAATGAACAAACGTCAAAAAAAGATGGTAGTTTCAAGAATCTTATGAGTAAGTTCACGGAGAAGATCAAGAAGCTAGTACTAGAAATTAGACAAATGGAAAACGACTTCAAACAAACACCTACACCGAGAAACCGAATAAAATGTTACCGGTGCCAAAAGCTTGGACACATGCAATGGGATTGTAGACTAAGGATGTCCTCTCCATCTAGGGATTGTTCCCAAAGCTTTTGGAGGTCCAGAGACGCCAGTCCTAAACTTCGACCTAGAAACCTGCAAGAGAAAAACACTAGTCCAACTGTGAGAAGAACGGGCCTGATCGTTGATGACAAGTGGACTACGAAACAAATGAGAGAAGATCAGGAAGCAGACCAGGACATCGGGCAGATTCTCCATCTTGAGGAAAATTATGGATGTAGGCTAGAATGGAGGGAAGTGTCAAACAAGGCATTGTGGTCCCAGTGGAACTCTCTGGCCGTAGAAAATGGGTTGCTTAAAAGAGTTTGGGAAAGTGCCGATGGGAAATCCACTAAGAGCCAACTGGTTATCCCAAAAGACCGAGTGGAAGATGTATTAAAAGAAATACATGACGGAACTTCAGGTGCACATTTTGGAGTTAACAAGACTTTTGACAAAATCTGTCGTTGGCTATCATTATTTGATCAGGCTTGAATGAGAGATAAAGTTGTGTGTCGTCTGCATAATTGTGTACAGTCGAGTATTGTAGACATGTAATAAGCTGTGAAGTATAGATAGAAAAAAAAAAGCGGCTCAAGGATAAAATCCTGAGGCACACCACATGTCATCTCCATAGGCCTCGAAAGCCTGCCACTATGCTTGACCACTTGGTTTCGACCAATGAGGTATGACCTAACAAGAAGCCTCGAATGATTGTCAAATTCCAGATAGTGAAGTATGCCTAAGAGAAGATTATGGTTGAGACGGTCAAAGGCCTTAGAATAGTCCAAGAGTACTAATGCCTTCAAATCGCCAC